CAAACGCTGCAGAACAAATTGTCAAATGGCTCCAGACCGCAGATCCTGCGCTCATCAGTGACGCTCTGGATCTCATGGTGACAGGTGGGATTGTCAAAAAATTCGCAGAATTATTTCGATCCTCCAATCCCAATTTGGAAGTGAGTTCGCCACTCGTTGATGCACATCACACACCTTTCTCAAAGCTTGGAAGAGTCTCGCTGGAATAATCTTTGGCTTCCTGGCTAGCGGAGATACCCGTCACGCCACTATTGCCTTCAATTCTGGGATACTACCCGCATGCATCGAGCGCTTGTCCGCGCCGGAACTGGAGCCGCGAATAAAGAGTGCATGGATCCTTGGCAATCTCGCAGCGGATGACGTCGAATGTGCCGAGAGCCTCTTGGAGAAAGGTGTATTGGAAATCATGGTAGATCAAATGACGACAATTACGAACGCTAACGAAATATCTGTATATGGCCCTTATTCTCCCATGCTACTTTGGGCGATCAATCATTTTCTAAAATCATCGGCGGACATTCCCGCTTCCATAGTACGTAACAGTTCTCCACATCACTTTAGCTGACCATTCGTTTAGATTATGAAAATACGAGAACTCCTCTGTATCATTATTGTTTCGGATGAAGAAGACACCGTCTTAGAAGAGTCGTGTTATGGCCTAGCCGCGATCCTACAACTAAATCCTACTTATGGCTCTGCATTTTCCAACGAGAGGATATGCGGAAGACTTGTTCGATTACTGCAATGGGGCTCAAATATTCAAGTACAGAAGGCTTCACTGCAACTTGTTGGGGCGATCACCGCCCGGGCCGAAGAATACACCGGGCAATTGATTAGGCTCGGCCTTCTTCCTGCTCTTGGGGATTTGTTAGAGCATCCTCTGGGGGAAGATACATGTTGGGTTATCTCCAACATCGTTGCGGACAATGTCGATCACCTCAATGCAATATCCCGAGATCCTCGAATTTTGCCTACTGTTATTCGCCTTCTCAAGGTGTATGCTTCTGGGTTTGA